GTCCTCTGCGTCAGCTGGTCGTCGCCGGCCTGGCTTTGCTGACGCTCCCTCAAAGGTGTAAGGGGCGGCCTGCCCCTCACACTTGTAGATTCAGCTGCTGTTGTCCTGGGCCTATGGGCTCAGGCGGTGCCGGTGCTGGTCATCGGACAGGCATGTGGACATGTGGTCCGCTCGTGTAGCACTTATGCTGACACTTGCACTCTTTGTGTGCGGGCCAATATATACATAAGTGGGTAGTTCATATTTCGTCCACTTGAGGTTTATGACCGGGACCTTGAATAAACATTGCAACTAAGTGTTACAGTGTGTACCCGCTAAGTACAGTGGGTACTCGATATACGTACATACTTCAAGAACCTGATGTTGAGGACGAAATTAATGCTGTTAAGACTTCAGCGGAAATTAAGTGCTGGAACTGTGACAAGACAGACCACAGGTACCATGATTGCCTTAAACCCCGCCATATTTTCTGTTATGGTTGCGGTACACCGGAGATGTATAAACCGAACTGCGCAAATTGTAAATCGGCCTTAAAAACGTCAAACAGGACATTCGTTGTGTAACGAAAACGAATGTTTGCCATTAGCCTTAAAACGCGACTCGCTGATGGCTAAAAACAAATCGTGACAGGCACGAATTCGAATTCTTAATAGTTACTTCCATAAAGCAAAGCGTAATATGCGGGAGAGATTTCTGGTATACGTTTGGAATTTCTATTAGGCAATCAGCTGTGATCAGCAAAATCAACTTTGATTAAAAATTCAACACTAAAGTATGTTGCGAAATGAAATCTTTTCATGCTTTGGTGTACCCGAAACAGTCGTGATGATAACGGAACTCTATTTAAAACCCGTGATTTCTCGGACTGTCTTTAGAAATATGACGATCGTCATAATTGGCCAGTTAATTTATCTCTTTGAGGACTTAAATGGCAAAGAACTTGGAAAATTCCGTGCGAAGGACATATGGTAACACTATTAACTCCTTTTTCAGTTTTATTGTTAGTCACAGGGACTAAAAAGTAAATCTGTGGTTGTGGAAGTCAAGCCGATTGGCAACGCTGAAATATAACTTTCTGGTTACTTGTGTAGCAGGCCAGTTGATGTTATTATGATCTGGTCTCACGATTGTTGGGCTACGCTCTCTGAGAGAGCAGGTTACTCTCTCTCTCAGAGAGCGTAGCCCAACAATCGTGTGACCAGATCATAATAACATCAACTGGCCTGCTACACTTGATTGGCAACGAACCAGATTAGCAAACTATCGGTCCTGCTAAAAAGAAGTTTCGATACTCCTTTTCATAAAATGCCTAAAAAAATCCCCTAAAACGGATTATCGTAGCTGTGGTCACTCTTGATCGGAGCATTTCCGTTCTCTTCTCTGGATGGCGTGATCGAGTGCAGTTCAACTTCTCTGTAAAGCAAAAATTTAATCCGCGTGCATCGAGACAAAAAGTCACATTTTTCTCAAAGTGAATACTACCATTGCCTAGCTCAACTTATGCTTTGATTACTGAGGGTAAGCTTTAGAGTGCACTCTGACGCTAGTGCCTAATAAAGTGATTCCCGAAAATAGTGCTTGCGGCCCGTACCACATTCCAAGAATTAAGGATTTACCTGGAACTCTTATTGTCAGCGCAGCCCTAGGCTGATCGCATTGTTCTGCCATTGATTTTGACCACGTGTAGTGGAACCTCACTGACGCCATCGATCGCAGTCAGATTCACTTCTGCGTGCAAACGGAGCGTTCGCCGCTCACAGCGGGAAACTGTGCTTTCCCCCTCTTTGCTGCTAGAAAAGCGCAGATCGAAGCACCCCGAGTTGGTGTCGCACTTTTTCTTCTTCTTCGCTAGAAGCAAGGAGCTCATCGTACGCCCGACTCTTCTTCTTTTGCCGCACACACCGAGTGGTGTGCCGCCCTTGCCACACCCACATCGAGTTGGTGTGCCCCCGTTGCCGCACACACAGGCTTTGTGTGTCTTCTTCTTCGTGCACGAGGCACCATTTTGCATTCGACTTGTCTGTACCGACACGACCGAACAAGAATTTGCTTGTTCAAGACGCCGCTTTCGCAGCCGCGCTGAAGCAGCCGCGACACGATTGAACGTGTTCATTCTTGAGTATCAGTAGCTTAGTGTTGAATTTATGTAAACTTGCTTAAGAATATTTACTTATAATTCTTTCGATTCCGATTTAGCATATTTTGTGGGAAATCTGACAAATATATATATGTGATTTTCCTTCCTTTACATTAAGATCTTCAGCTACTCATCATAGTCATCAGGCCTACTGACATCGATGGATATTGCGTAAGTACGGCATAGCCGTGAAATAACCATAACTGTCTGAACGAGCATATATAATCGCCAGATTCCACACTAAATCGTAATATAACCTCAAGTTATTAACTTTTAACGTAAATATTGCTACTTGATTTTGATTTAAAACAGGTTATATATTTGAATATCGAATTATTGCTAATAATTTAATGTTAAGTAAACAAGAAGCAAAAGAAAACATAATGTAAATTCTAAAAGCAAATCCTTGACTTAAACATCTCTTCTATTTTTCCTTTAATTACTAATTAATAAGTGGTAAATAAAGTAAATATCGTAAACTCTTAGTTTAACGTTAGGTTAAACAAAATGTATCGTAATAATATTGTTATCGTTAATTATATGCAGTCGAAGATGAATTAATCTGACGTCTTTTAGGGCACTTTCGGGTATGTAAAGCAGCGGTTGTAAAAGGGTGGAGTTCGATGGAATTTCACAGGTTGGGTGGGTATAGCCTGAGGCCTACAACATCTGGTCCTCATCTTCGATAGGTGCTCTATTCTGTCCGATTCCCTAACCGAAGGGTTTTCCTATTTGCCGCTATCGTCTCTGTCTACTATTTTAGTTCTGTGACAATCTTGTTCATATAAACACAAACCTGTAACGTCCTGTCGTCCACGGGTAGTCAGCGGGACGTCCAGGGTCTGTGCAGATATATTTATTTGGTTCAGGCGTGGTTGCTGTAAGAGATTCCGACCCCGTCCCAGAGTAGAACGCTAGAGGATTATGCCGTAAATGTATCTTAATGTTTATTTACTTAAAAGGTACAATTTTTAATAATTTCATGCCGGATCTCGATTCTGGGGTACGCCGTAGTTCCGATCCGTCCTCCTCGTCCCGAGTGCGGCTGTCCGATAGGGGGATGCCGATAGTCCCGCCAGGGTATGGGCCTTGAAAGCCACCCAATAGCGAATGCGTTCGGACTCGAAAGTCCTCCACGAGAGAATGCGTTCGGACTCGAAAGTCAACCGAACCCAGTAGTTGTCGGACTCGACTCGACAGTCAGCTCAGCGCCGTTGGTTGGACTCGAAAGTCAGCTCGGAGAAGTTCGGACTCGAAAGTCTGCAGATTCGGACTTGAAAATCAGCTCGAAGACGTTTGGACTCGAAAGTCTGCAGATTCGGACTCGAAAGTCAGCTCGAAGACGTTTGGACTCGAAAGTCTGCAGATTCGGACTCGAAAGTCAGCAGAGAGAATTGGACTCGAAAGTCGGCAGTGTTTCGGACTCGCAAGTCAGCAGAGAGAATCGGACTCGAAAGTCGGCAGTATTATGGACTCGCAAGTCAGCAGAGAGAATCGGACTCAAAAGTCGGCAGTGTTTTGGACTCGAAAAGTCAGCAGAGATCCTAACTACGATTTATAAATAGGAACCTGAGTTCCCAAAAAGTGACTTTGCTGCTAACTACTGGGGAGGTTAACTCGACCCAATCGCAGTCGGCTGCTAAGTGATTACTCCAGGGCCGTGGTCCGCTTTATATAGGCCCTGGCGAGGCTTCAGTGTGGCCAGAGTCCTGTGCGGGATTGGCCCGAATAGTGTGGCCAGTCGTTCGGTCTAGTGTGACCCTCCGCTCGCGATCAGTGGCGCGCGCGCGCATTCAATTCAAATTATCTCCATAATGTTGCCAATCCATTTCTTATGTCCCTAAGTGTTTCTATTTTATTCTATCGCATATATATTGTGCGCCTACAGGCGTCACAAACCTACGCCCATGTTCCCTGAGCAAGCCGCTCAAAAGTAGACAGAGTGTGTTAAGGTTGACAACGCTCAGTGAGTGTGTTCGTTACAACCAAAAGCTTTAAAAACAATCAAAAAACAAATCAAATTAAAAATGTACGCCAACAACATCAGCAACAACATTATCAACAACATGAATGCAATTTATTGCAACTCCTGCAGGCGGTACCTACCCCTATCCACTCAATGGCACAACCATGTGCGGACGGAGCAACACAAATATTTTGCTACCCGACCCCTGGGTGGTAGTATAAAGAAAATCATCAATGGATACAAGGGACGCATCCTTCAGTATATGTTTTTAAATGAGGAAGCAGCTCTTAGGATTCCTGTTGAATGAATCGAAAGAGTGCTATCGTTCCACACAGCTTCAAAAATAAATTTGGAACTGTTTGCGGAGTACATGTTAATTAAAGAACATGAAACGCAAGTGGAAATGAAATCGTTCCAGAGTGTTTGGGAACGAGACACCCTGTATTGGGTTTCGCTCTCTTTGTTTTTGATCGCCGCTGCCGGCGGCCTTATCAGCGGTCGCTAAGCGAGCAGCGCATCGCTGCACATGCGCGCGAGCTTCTGCCCAGTAATTTTCCATTCATTTTTAACTCCTAACTGTAACTTGTTTACGTCTTCGACTAGCATAATCGAATGACGTGCATAGCCAAAGCTTAGTCAGTCACATTTTTGCTCTCAATGCAATCAAACGCAGCGCGGTCGACAATATTAAATGTAATTGTTCGGAAATAAATAAAATCATATTAAACAGTATACACTAGGGCGGATTCATTTATAAACATTCCAAAAACTGGTCCTTCGAGCCGGATGCGCCAATACTGTTTATTTTCGGTCAATTAATTTAATTATTGAGGTTTTTGTCAACGGTGAAATATAGATTTCAAAATCGTATAGAGTCGTTATCTTTTCGCGATCGCCATGCGGAGTGTGATTCAACAACGGGGCTTTTGTAAAAGCCAAATCACACGGGCGCATAATAATGCCCTAAAATTTGTGGATGACATTCAATCAGTGGACACAATTGTGGTGCGCCTGTCCCAAATCCAAGACAATTATTTGCGGTTTGTGCGACATTCGGAAGAGCTGTACGCCTTCCAATCGGAGTCGGATTGGGAGAATCCGGACGACGATTTTGATGCCTATGAGGAGAAACATTACGCTGCACACGCAATTCTAAGCAACACTCTGGAGGAGTTACGGCGTGATCAAACGTCTAACAATATTTTGGCCACTGTTCAGGCAGAAGATGCGCCCCAGAGGAGCCATGTGGATTTCCAGTTTGAGCGAATCAAACTCCCAACCTTTTCCGGGAATTATGAGGACTGGAAAAATTTGTCGGATATGTTTACGGACTCGATTGCTTCCAATTCGAGCCTGACAGATTTTCAACGATTTCGTTATCTCAAATCGTACCTATCCGGAGACGCGCTCAATTTAGTCAAACATATTCCTGTGACTAATGAGAACGATCGGGAGGCATGGGATCGGCTTGAGCAGCGAAATAACAAACAATCGCTAATTATTCGATCATTCCTCAACAGTTTCATGACCCTTCCCAGTGCTACGTCTTCTAATCTCAGCACAGTGCGGAAACTGGCCGATGGCGCAGATGAAGTTATTCGTGGTTTGCGAGCCCTTGACTGCGAAGAGAGGTATCCTTGGCTAATCTTCATCCTATTGTCTAAATTGGATACCGATACCTGCCAAGCTTGGGCGCAGTGCGCAGACTCCGAGGGAAAAGGTGTGACCATCAACCAATTCCTTAAATTTCTAACCTTCGCTGCGATACTTTGGAGGCTTTTCACTTAGTGCGACCAACCCAAGCTCGACGCGCAGCCACAACGCACCACGCAGATACGCATCCTAGACGAGAAGAACCCAAATGCACATCGTGCCAGCAAAATCATCAACTGTTCAAGTGTCCTCAGTTCAACGGACTCGACATCGCAGCTCGCCGGGAGTTTCTCAAGACGAAAAAGCTATGTTTCAATTGCCTCAGCCCAAGTCACATGGCGGGTAACTGTACATCGAGACATACTTGTCGGATTTGTCGCCGCAAGCATCACACCCTGGTACACCCTGGCTCGGCGCAGCCAACTCAAAACGGTAACTACTTGGAAAGAGCCCGTACGGACAGCCGCGATCGTCCATCAACCTCACAAGCGGCATCTACAATCGGCCAGAATCAACCGCCTGGTCAAGAGATTCATCAATCAGGGAGTTTACCTCCCGCGGAAAATAACTTCACGCATCATACGCTGGAGAATATTTCAGCTGCAGGTTCGCAGACTCTGTTGCCAACCATCCTTGCAGACGTCGTCGACGCCTGGGGAAATACTACAACCTGCAGGCTGCTCTTGGACACTGGGTCCACAATCACCTTGGCGTCGGAATCATTTGTCCAGCGAATAGGCGTACGTCGAACGCACGCCCGGATTTCTGTACTCGGTCTCGCAGCCAACAGCGCTGGCGTTACCCGAGGATGCGCACATATCAAGCTGCGCTCTCGTCATTCGGACCAAACTGTCGAACTGGTCCCGTTTATTCTCAATTCGCTGACATCATCACTTCCGGCCCAGGCTATTGACACCTCATCTTCTACGTGGAAGCAAATCTGCGAGCTTCCTTTGGCAGATCCCTCATTCTGCACGCCAGGATCCATCGATGTCATCGTTGGATCAGATCAACTCTGGTCCCTGTATACTGGAGAACAAAAATGCTTTGCTAACGACGCTCCTATCGCTCTGAATACTGTTTTTGGTTGGATTATTGCAGGCTCTTACAATGCATGCGATGATCACCTGACTAGCCGTTACTCATCACGCGGACCTAGACAAGATGGTGCGTTCTTTCATGGAGATGGATAATATAGAGCCTAGCCAGGCTCTTTTGGACGCCAACGATCCCACAGAGCGTCATTTTGCTGCCACCCACACGCGCTTGGAGAACGGGGTTTACGTCGTCGAGTACCCCTTCAAGGAGCATGCGCCGCCTGTTGATTCAACTTTACCGCAGGCCATCAATAGCTTTCTCTCGCTGGAACGCAAATTTCGTCGATCTCCAGACTTGAAGCAGCAATACGAAGCATTTCTGGACGACTACTTGCGACGCGGTCATATGGAACAGCTGACATCGGCTCAAATGGATGAGTCCCCAGACACCTGCTTCTATCTGCCGCACCACGCTGTCATCAAACTGGACAGTTTGACTACGAAATGTCGCGTAGTTTTCGATGGATCGGGAAAGGACAGCTCTGGAATGTCTCTCAATGATCGACTTCAAATTGGCCCGCCCATTCAACGCGATCTTCTCGGCGTTTGTTTACGTTTCCGGCAGCACCCATATGTTTTCTGCGCGGATATCGAGAAGATGTTCCGAGGAATTCAAGTCTTCAAGCCGCACACCAATTATCAGCGCATTGTTTGTCGCAAGAACGGGAATGAACCACTGCTTCATTTTCGCCAGTTGACGGTCACCTACGGATTGGCGCCGTCCCCATTTCTGGCTGTTCGAGTTCTCAAGCAACTAGCTGAGGATCACCGCCACGAGTTCCCCGCTGCTGCCCACGCACTTCTACACGACGCTTATGTAGATGATATCCCAACAGGGTGCAACTCATTCGACGAGCTCATGATTCTCAAAAATGAGCTGATTCAACTGTTGCATAAGGCGCAATTAAAACTACGGAAATGGAGTTCCAACAGTTGGCGTCTTCTAAAGTCATTGCCAGAAGAGGACCGATGCTATGAGCCTATCCAGCTCCTCAACAAATCAGCTGCGGATTCACCAATCAAAATTCTTGGCATCCAATGGAATCCCGGAAAGGACGTCATGTACCTCAATATCAAGGAGTGCGATCCGACCATTTCTCCGACGAAAAGAGAACTCTTGTCGCAGCTATCGAGAATCTATGACCCGCTTGGATTGGTCACAGTTCTACTCAAGCTCATCTTCCAAGAAAGCTGTACAAGTGTTCTGCAATGGGATGACCCGATTCCTGAAACTCTACGCTCGCGCTGGAAGGCCTTGGTGGAGGATTTGCCGACACTTACGCAGTGTCAAGTACCACGATACATTGCGTCACCATTCCAAGACGTTCAACTACACGGATTCGCCGACGCATCCGCGCACGCCTATGGTGCGGTTGTATACGCTCGAGTAGCATATGGAGGCAGTTTTCAAATAACCCTAGTTGCTGCCTAAACCCGTGTAGCCCCGATCAAGCCTGTTTCGATCCCACGTTTGGAACTGAATGCTGCTTTACTTCTTTCTCGATTGCTCTCGATTGTCAAAGCCTCACTAACGATTCCTATTTTCAGCACGAGCTGCTGGACAGATTCAGAAATTGTGCTACACTGGCTTTCAGCTCCCCCACGAAAGTGGAACACATACGTCTGCAACCGAACGGCTGAGATCCTGAACGACTTTCCTCGCAGCTGCTGGAATCATCTCCGCACAGAGGACAACCCTGCCGACTGTGCTTCTCGAGGACTTCATCCGTCCAAGCTTCTGGAGCATCGACTGTGGTGGAAGGGTCCATCATGGCTGGCCACACCGCCCTCTGATTGGCCACCGTCTACAAGCAAGTTCAGCGTATCTTCAAATCTCGATGTCAACACCGAAGAGCGATCTGTCAAGCCCATAACTCTACATAACTTTCCTGATGAAAGTATCTACTTATCCACAAATTATCAACCTGGACGCGTCTGCTAAGGGTATCTAGCTACTGTTATCGCTTTATTCACTCTCTTCGATCTCGTCATAGGAATCCGGCACCATTCCTTACATCCGAAGAGTTGCAGGCCGCACGATGCCGACTCATCCGACACGTGCAACAAAATGTCTTTGCCAGAGAATATGCGCAGCTAGAGAATCGACGCCCGCTTAATGCTAAATCGCATTTAATTCGGTTCTCCCCATTTCTGGACGATCATGGAATTATGCGAGACGGTGGAAGAATCGACAAATCTACAATCAACTTCAACGCCAAGCATCCAATCCTAATACCAAAGGATTCACCACTAGCTGGACTCCTGGTTCGACATTTTCACGTTTCACATCTACACACTGGAGTTGATGCTACGTTCACCAATCTTCGTCAGCAGTACTGGATTCTGGGTGCACGCAATCTGGTCAGAAAGGCAGTTTTCCAATGCAAACGCTGCTTTCTTCAACGCAAAGGCACCAGTAACCAGATCATGGGAGAGCTGCCAATCCCTCGAGTTCAGGCTAGTCGCTGTTTCCAACATACAGGGCTGGATTACGCTGGACCGATCACCATAAAGGAATCAACAGGACGAACTCCACGGATCGGAAAGGCATGGTTCTCTATCTTTGTCTGCCTAACTACAAAGGCAATCCATATCGAGGTCGTCAGTGATCTGACTGCAAAGGCCTTCATCGCCGCCTTTCAACGATTTATTGCCCGACGAACAAAGCCCACCGATCTGTACTCGGACAACGTAACCACATTTCATGGCGGAAAGCAAACTTTGGACGACATGCGACGGCTAGTCATCGAACAATCTAAAGATGAGGAATTGGCTGGATTCTTCGCCAACGAAGGCATTTCTTGGCACTTCATACCCCCATCTGCCCCTCATTTTGGCGGAATGTGGGAAGCCGGCGTTCGTTCCATAAAACTTCATATGCGACGGATACTTGGATCCAAGGCTCTTACGTTTGAGGAACTAGCGACTGTTTTGACCCAAATTGAAGCCATCCTCAACTCTCGCCCACTGTGCCCAAATGGGGATAATTCGTTGGACCCGCTCATTTCCTGACTGGAGCTCCTTATACTGCCCTCTCTGAACCCTGCCGTCTGGATATGCAAATCAATCGACTGGAGAGGTGGAATCAGCTGCAAGCTGTGGTCCAAGGTTTCTGGAAACGGTCGCATATGGAATACCTGACATCGCTTCACGAACGCACAAAATGGCATCTAGAAACTGAGAATCTGAAGATCGACACACTGGTTGTACTCAAGGAGCCTAATCTACCTCCCTCTAAATGGATTCTTGGACGCATCAGCGAGGTGCACGCAGGATCAGATGACAAAGTACGGGTCGTAACAGTGAAGACGGCCCATGGATCCTACAAACGCCCAATTACAAAATTGCTGTCTTGCCTCTGTGCTGAACGACCGTTCAGGGGGGCCGGTATGCTTGGGAACGAGACACCCTGTATTGGGTTCCGCTCTCTTTGTTTTTGATCGCCGCTGCCGGCGGCCTTATCAGCGGTCGCTAAGCGAGCAGCGCATCGCTGCACATGCGCGCGAGCTTCTGCCCAGTAATTTTCCATTCATTTCTAACTCCTAACTGTAACTTGTTTACGTCTTCGACTAGCATAATCGAATGAATGCATAGCCAAAGCCTAGTCAGTCACATTTTTGCTCTCAATGCAATCAAACGCAGCGCGGTCGACAATATTAAATGTAATTGTTCGGAAATAAATAAAATCATATTAAACAGTATACACTAGGGCGGATTCATTTATAAACACAGAGTAAGATGACTCTGCTTACGATTGGCTCAAATTTAATAGATTTTTTCAATTCCCACACTGAATCCATTGTTACAAAAATGGGCGATACTGTTTCTTCGATTTACGGTTCTCTGTTATCGATAGGAGATGATAAACAAATTTCGAATGCAATGTTGATTTATTTGGTATTAAATCGAGTCGACTCAGTAACCAAACACAAATGGGAGGAATAGCTTGATTTTGAGACTTTGCCGCTTTGGTCCGATTTTGAAAAAATGTTAAATCGCCGATATCAGCACTTGTCAGCTGAAGAAGCAGGATAAATTACTGTCGAGTAAATGCCATAATCGTAGCTCATTTTCGTGTTCTTCATCCAACAGCAAGCCTCAGCAAACTTGTAGTTACTTCAATGCAGCAGATCGTACCCTACAGAATTGTAGCCCGTTTGGGCGGCTCTCTGTAATGCAAAGGTTCAAGTTTGTAAAGTCTGCCTCCTTATGCCAAATCATCCTTCCTTCAAAGTGAACGGACGTGTTTTTTTCTTGCGCTCCCGATTTGTGTAGAATTTGTCTATAAACCTCCGGGGTTTACTAACATTTAATATTTGGTGTTTCAAATAATTCCCGTTCACTTCGCGTGTGCATGCTACTTGTTTATTTTGTGCTATTTAATTCAATTTAAATTGCATTTTAGTTTGGGCTGCTGCGGTTGCTTTGCATTTTGCTCTTTTTGCATTCCCTTTTTGTGCCTTTAGCGTTTGTTGTTGTTTGCGTTGCCGCGACAGCTATAAACGGTTCTACTCAGCGCTTATCTCTCGCTCTCCTGCTCGTTGCCCCCCCGCTCATCAAGTGCCGCTGCATTTAATCCCTTGCGCCCTCTCTTAAATAGCGAAGTACAGTGGTAAGTCGTTACAATGTCCCATAATATGGTCTGCTTCGCCAAAAACTGTAAGAAAAATATTACTTACGGTGAACTCACCATCACCTGTTGGCTGTGTGACAACATAGTACATGCCAAGTGCATTGGCGTTGTTGCACGGACAGTAGATGACGTGGCCAAAAATATCGGCGTACGTTACTGCTGTGAGGCCTGCCGCGAGGTGGAGAGGGAAATGATGTCTTTTATGCGGCAAACCAGGGGTGGTTTTAAAGAGCTATTATTGAGTTTTCGCAAAACTCAAGATATGCTCTTGGCGCTGGATACTCAATTTAATAGCCTCAAGCTGTTAAATGAGTCTCCTAGGCGCAAAAAAACCGCAACTGGTGGGCAGCATATGGGCGGATCCCAGCCACCAGTGATAGGCACTGCACAGCAGCCTCCCTCGACTCTGCCCCCGACCCCGGGACAAATTCCAAGAGTCCTGAGATCGGGCGCTAAAAAAGATTCGGTACCCGAATGCGTCGCGGGTGCGACCGTGCCCCCGGTGTTGCCCAGTTCCGTTTTGTCCACTGGGGGGTCCCAACTGTTGTCTCAGCCCTCTCAGAGCCCTAATCCCTGCCAGGGTATCAGGCCCGGACTACCGGCCGAAAGTGGTATGGCGGCTCAGTCTGCCGTGCCAAAACCCCTTACGGCAATTCCACCAACAAAACAGTTATTTGTTTCTCGGCTTTCCCCTGATCAGACATCGGAAGATGTCATAGCTTTTATCCAAGGCAAAGTAAAAGTCGATAGGGAAAAAATTAAGGTGGAAAAATTTAAATTTTCCTACCCCAGGAACATTTCGTCTTTCAAGATAAATGTTCCTGACGAAGTCTTTGGCACTCTATGCTCGGCCGAAACCTGGCCACAGTATGTGGTTGTCAAAGAGTTTGAAGGTACGAAAAAGAAAAAGCGGCCTGTAGGAATTACTCTTCCTAGGCCAGATTTGCCCAATGCTCCGTCTACGTCTTCCAATTCCGTCCCAAAAAACTAACCATTTCCCTTGGTATTTCCTATCAGAATGCTAGAGGCTTACGCAGTAAGCTTCCTAAATTGTATTCTGACAGCGTCGCATTTGCTTCCCAAGTTATTGTGTTCACAGAAACCTGGTTAAAGCCGGAGATTCTGAGCTCCGAAGTTTTTCCAGCTGCGTTCACAGTATACCGGCTAGATCGGCCTATCAGACGTGGGGGAGGTGTCCTTATAGCGGTCGACTCCACTCTCACGTCCGAATTAATAATTTTCGAGGAATCCAACAATGTTGAATTCCTTTGCGTGAAGCTATCAGTTAATGGTAGCTCCATTTTTGTTACATGTTCCTACATTCCTCCATTGTCGGAACTTCCTATTTATTGGAACCATCTTTCCGCTATTCAGTTGGTCTCCAAAAGACTTTCGGATAGGGACAATTTAGTTGTTCTTGGTGATTTTAACATCCCAGGGGCTATTTGGACCCTAGATAATTCCACAAATACACTTCTTACGACAACACATCATGATTTTATTGCTGGCTTGTTTGACATTTCGCTGTCCCAAGTCAATCATGTTCGAAATTCCTTAGAGCGCTTGCTTGATCTTTGTTTTGTCTCAGATCCTGAAAGAGTTAGTTTAGCTAGGGTGGCGCCCCTGACGCAACCCGAAGAACCCTATCATCCCACTTTCGATGTGACTATCGACATGGGGACTGTTTCACGGAATAAATCTGATAGTCCAGCCCAAGAAGTCTTCTGCTTTAGCAAGACAGATTTCGTACGGCTGAATAATTTCATAATTAATTACAACTGGTCCGACCTATACACATGCACTGACATGGCGGAAGCCGTGGGTATTTTTTATCGTGTTATGAATTCATTTTTTATTGACTGTGTTCCGTTATACTGTCCGTCTACATCAAACAAGCCTCCTTGGTTTACCAAAGAGTTGACCCGCCTCAAAAATAGAAAATCAAATCTATATGCTAAATATCAACGTACCGGTTCTCCGATTGCCCTATCTTGTTATTTATCAGCTCGATCCACTTTTACTGTGTGTAACGCGCAGTGCTACAATAATTATTTGACTCGTTGCAGGTCCCAGTTTTCTGAGGACCCAAAACAGTTTTATAATTTTGTTAAATCCAAGCGTAAATCCATTACTCGTCCGTCCTCGCTCTCTTTTGGTAATTCAACAGCAGAAAATGATCAGGCTATAGCCGATCTTTTTGCTCAGTTTTTTGAAACCACTTACTCCAACTCAATAGACCCAAATCAGGCTTATCCTTACATTATCCCGAAATCGAACCAAATCTTCAGTCCTACCATTAATGAAAGCTCTCTTCTTAGGGATCTTCATCGTGTTAAGCCAGTTTTTTTTACCAGGTCCCGACGGAATACCAGGCTGTGTGCTTAGGAATTGTGCCGAAGCCCTGTGCAATCCACTTCTCAAATTGTTTACCTTATCCTTAGAAACCTCCCACTTTCCCCTTATTTGGAAGGAATCATTCGTTATTCCTCTCCACAAAAAAGGTAGCAAATTGGATGCCAACAATTACAGAGGTATCTCTAAGTTGTCGGCCATCCCTAAACTGTTCGAAAATGTTATTACTCCTCATCTGCAGCATCTGTGTAGGTCAATTATTTCTCCATGTCAACATGGTTTTATTAGGCGAAGATCAATTACAACGAATCTGTTGGAGCTTACTTCCTTTATTATAAAGGGATACCGAAATAACTTTCAGACAGATGTAATCTATACTGATTTCAGTAAAGCATTTGACTCTGTTAACCATTCCCTTCTTGTTCGGAAACTCGATTTAATGGGATTCCCGACTGATCTTCTTAATTGGATCTCAGGTTATCTAAATGGCAGGACGCAGAAGGTCCTTTTCGAAAATAAACTATCTAATGTTCTTAGGGTTACATCTGGCGTCCCGCAAGGGAGTCATTTGGGTCCCCTACTGTTTACATTATTTATCAACGATCTGCCCGAAGTTTTGACCAACTCCAGAGTACTTATGTATGCTGATGACGTCAAGCTTTGTGTGCAATATAATGATGCTACTTGCCAATCAGACTTACAGACAGATCTTAACAATTTTCAAACATGGTGCTGCGTGAACCTATTAAACTTAAACGGCTCTAAGTGCAAGCTAATGACATTCTCCCGTGTCACTCCTAAGCCTGCAACTTATACGCTAAACGGCTGCTCTTTGGAAAAAATTAATATAGTTGATGATTTAGGTGTCCGTCTGGATCCTAAACTCGACTTTATCGATCATATTTCGTGCATGGTGAATAAAGCCAGGGGCGTGCTTGGTTTCATTAAACGGTGGTCTAAGGAATTCAATGACCCCTATGTCACAAAAACGTTATATACTTCACTTGTTCGTCCTATCTTAGAATAT